TACTTTTCCATATATTATTGCACAATGGTCTCCCGATTTCTTATTTTTGGGGTTCTACCGACGCTCTAAAACAGTGAAATGGACTCTAGTGAGACATCTAAGCGTGAATTTTCTGTTCCAACCAAAAACTTTATCTCCTTGAAACCCAGAATGATGGAATGATTTTTTAAATTTTCATTCTGGATATTGATATTGGTAATATTAGCACTTTATTTAGGAATAAATACATGTAATGATAAGCCATTCAATATGGTGAAATTCAGCACGAGTTTGACAGAATGTTGTACAAAGCTCAAAACGAAGGTGAGTGCATTTCTGAAAAGTACTCCACTTAGGGGAGGCATCAAAAGATCAATGTCTGATAGAAAACTAAATAAATCTAGTTTGGGGGGGAGGGGGTCAAAGCTATTTCAGTTTGCTATCCGACAAATTTCAACATTTAATTTTGTTGCAATTTCGACTCAAAATGCCTTGGAATGTTTTATAAATAAAGACTTTACCAGATGCCTTCTTCACCAAGATACATGGAATTTAATGCCTATTGTTGTTGGCACACATTTTAAGAATTATAAATAACTTATAGTACTACCCCCATGAAAGTCCAAATTGAGTCGCTTAAACATGTGAAAAAGCCGCGATCAACTTTTGTTGTATTTAGTTTTGAGGGGGAGGGGGGGGGGGGGGTCCAACTCAAAACTAGATTTATTTAGTTTCCTATCAGACATTGAACTTTTGATGCCTCCCCTTAAAGAGGTTCATTTGTCATGAAACTCCACAAAATGTTTTACTCATAGAGGTGTTTTACTTACAGAGGTGTTTTACTTGACAGTGTTTCACTGTACTCTAACCATTAACACAAATTAATCCCAATGGCCTGCAAGAGTTAAACAAATCGTCAAATATTTTATAAAAATTCCACTCACAGTTTTTAATCAACGGCCATCTGAGACTGTTGTATGATACAAAATCATCAATTCAACACAGTTATGCCCAGAATATTAAATAATCTTAATTCCATAACTGATACCATTTCCAATAAGATCTTGCAAAGGTCATGTGACATAAGTTAACCAATTAAATCTGTGCTTGGAGCTGGTAATTCTGGGTAAGTTAGATATTTTGTTGAAGCAATATTCTTGAATTTGATACAATTAGTTGGAATCCTGCTTTTATCCCTGACAATGTATTTTATTTACCCTTGGTAAATTTTCTGCGATCATGTTTATTACGCTGCTTTTCTCTCTAAAATTTGAATAAACCTTCTCATTTTCTTTCATTTTTATACAATTTGGGGTATTGGCTACATGCTTGTTTGCTTAATTCCTCCCTGCTTTCACTCTTTTTCACTCAATTTTGTATTTTAAAAGATGACTATAATTGTATTTTTCGCACGCACAGAAACTAGATACCTAAGAGATTAGAATAAGGCATCAAATGTCTCGCTACAATTTTTTGAAATTACGAAATAAGAATTTATTCATTGCTGATTGGTCCCATGTGGAAAATTCCTGCGGTGAATTTTAAAACTTTTTTGTTGTCAAACTTCTACGATGTTTGCTAAATAGCTTGGAAGTCTCATTAAAATCTTGTATTTAATGAGATTTAAGGAGATTCATGTTTTTAACCATTAAAGACCAACATTTTCTTCTATTTGATTTTCAGTTATTCACATCTGTTCAAATTTCCAGGATTTTCAAGTTTTCTGAAAAAGGTCTGGCTAAATTTCCATTGACACAATGTTGAAAATCTTCAAAAACTCATTTACTCTTTTTATTTAAGGATCGCTATTTTAATGTTAAATTGCAATCTGCATATCAACAAGTGAATTCTCACAAGCATGGTACAGATGAATCACAATTTTGCTAGTAGGCAGCCATTTTGAAAAATGGCCACCATTTGTGTGTTACTTTACTTTTTTTTTTACTATAACTCGAAAACTAGTAGAGCCATTTTGTTGAAATTTAATATGTGACTACTGAGAAGCATATTGCATTTTCTTATGACAATTTGGCCAGTAATTGGCCATTCTCAACAATGGCACCCATGGTTGTTTGATGGGATTTGCTAAGCCTTGGTGTTGCTGTTATCTAGTTACATCTAGTCTCTGGACCTCAGGATTGTTAGAGATCAGGCCCGTAGCAAGAATTTTCCAAGAGGGGGGGGGGGGTTCAGTTTCCCAAAAATTCTAGGGGGGGGGGTATACTTTGGCAAATTTGGCCAAAAATCACTCAAAAATAGTCAGAATGGTGAAAAACCATCCAAACTCCCCCTGGCTATGGGCCTGGAGATCCTGAAACATCTGGATGTCAGCCTCATAGTTCAAAACAATACAAAATTACTTTCATTTTATGATAATTTAAATCTTTATTCAAATTATCTCATAAATATATTCAAATCTAAACATAAAATAAGTCACAATTTAATTGAGCTGTTGAATAAGTCGATACATTCAATTCTTAATCAATATGCTAGGCTGTGAATAAAACATTTCAACAAATAATCAACAAGGCTAGGGTATATAAATATTATATTTAACACAGGGGTTTCATTAGAACTTAACAGATTAAATTAATGAAAACAACAGGCAAAATTAATGGAAATCATAACGGAAAAGTTGAAAAGTCCCTAAAAACAACAGGCAATTTTGTGAAAACAACTGGTGAAAATTGCCTGTTGACTGCTGCTAATGAAACCCCTGTAACATCTAGTTATCAGGTTATTTTTGAACTATTTATTTAAAAATATTGGCTCATATAAGTAGAATTTATGACAAGTAATATAATAAAAGTTACCTTGGTTTCAATATGTTTGATCAATTTTAACAGGAATACTACTTTTATAAAATTATGGTACTTTTGACAGTTAAGTACAATGATTAGAAGTACCATAATTAAAAGTACCACAAAAATATGGTACTTTGATTTTGAATACTTTAACAAGTGTCGCAAACTTTTAAGGATATAAGAAGAATAAATTAATTGATAAAATATATCTTATATGATTTATTAACAGCCTTCAGACATTTTTGAATGCTCAATATTAAATAAAACAATACGTTACAAAACATTACAAATAATAAATAATAAATAAAAACAATGTACACATAAAACTAGAGATTTAGGCCAAGAGAAAGAGTATTATTTTTGGTTACCAGAAGATTTGAAAATCACCATTTTTAATAAATTAATGAAAAGAAAATTCCGTGGGGAAATATCAGTTTTTTTAGAATATAGTAAAGTGGAGATACATTTATTGCTCAGATCCATTGATAAGACTTCAATTTATCGTATGATCTGTAAAATGAAGCCTTCTGATTGGTCAGTTCTTGTGCTGTACCAATCTGTATTGCTACTGAGATTGTCCCCATTGATCATCACCGTTGCAATTCAGAAAATATTGATTTGGAGGGGACATTCTCAGTAGCAATGCAGAGGATCACATGAAAAAAACATATTCTGTATTGGCACTCGACTTCGTCTCGTCCCAATAAAGAATTTCTCGAGCAGAATATATCCTGTATTGCACTTCAAATCATTCATTAACTTATAGTATCCCCATTTTTATCAGTTTAGAGTTGAGAAACAACTTTTTCCTTGGCCTAAATGTCATGTTTATTCAATGAACAACATTTTTACTTTGTAAGTTACGGTCACATTGATGTTCTCATCTTTTCAAACAACATTTTTACAAAAATAGATTTCCATCCTGCTCACATCTAACTAACCAACTAAAGATGATTCAATTACTTACATGTACTGCAAAATGAGAAAAAATTATTAAATTTTCTACAGCATTCACAAATTACAAGTTTGTATTTTTAACAAAGCCTTATCTTCAATGAGGCTGATATATTTTAGTTTTGCTTTTCTACATTAAATGAGCTCTATGTTAAACATATTTTACGGTCTCATTTTGATTCTATTTTAGTTCTATTTTGAATAGAACATACTATATGTTAAAAGTCATATCATACAAATTAGATCTTTGTAGGATGTAACCATTGTCCTATTTTGACTACAAAACTTTCATGAATTTTTGAAAAAACAACTACATTAAAACTTGTCAAAGTAGAACACATTTGGTACCTCTAAAAAGTGTTCCACACGAGAGGTGTTCCACCTATAAAGATTCATTTAACATTAAGTAAGTTTGTCTTGGGTCTATGGAAAGTGTTCTACTAACAGAGGTGTTCTACTTTTAGAGATGTTCCACTTATAGAGGTTCATTTCACATTAAGCCAGTTGGCTCTGGGAAATGTGTTCGACTAACAGAGGTGTTTTACTTTTAGAGATGTTCCACTTATAGAGGTTCATTTCACATTAAGCCAGTTGGCTCTGGGAAATGTGTTCGACTAACAGAGGTGTTTTACTTTTAGAGATGTTCCACTTATAGAGGTTCATTTCACATTAAGCCAGTTGGCTCTGGGAAATGTGTTCGACTAACAGAGGTGTTTTACTTTTAGAAAGGTTCCACATATAGAGGTTCATTTCACATTAAGTCAGTTGGCTCTGGGAAAAGTGTTCGACTAACAGAGGTGTTCTACTTCTAGAGGTGTTCCACTTTACAAATTTTACTATATTTCAATTATGCTGTAAATCTAGTTTGAATAAAGCATATATACATTCTAGCTCTATGTTGAACTCACTTTTAAGCAATTATTCTATGTTGAATAGAACTTCTATAATTTATAGTTCTATGTTGAATAGAACTTCTATAATTTATAGTTCTATGTTGAATAGAACTTCTACACTCCCATAAAAAGTTTGGCAACATCAATTCGCTTATTGGATCACATGTTTCAACCCCAAACTATGTTTGATGATTTTTCAAAATAAATCATCAAGTTAGGTCGTTCAGTCATACCTAATGTGATTGAGGAAAGATTTAGATATTGACATGCTTTAACTGGAATTCAATAAGAAGCCAGAAATGTCAAACTTAACAAGGTTTAATAGGTGATCAAATTTAGAGTATGGATTGCCAAACTTTTGGAGGGGATCAGTGTATATTATACATCTGTGTTTAATAAAAAGAACCAATGGTTGTTCCATGAAAGAAACGATAGCACCAGTACACATAGTAGTTTAGTAACTGCATGAGGAGGCACAATATCAGAGTATATTATCATATTTTTGTTGAAAATATGCCTTTGAGAATTTTTGCATAAAGTGGCATATTTTGGGAAAATTCGGTCCTAGTTTGGCCAAAATTGGCATCTATATAATCTTGAGTGACATTTTTAGTACCATTGGCAAAATGTTGTAGATTTGAGCCAATTTCTGGTAAAAGCTGGCTATTGGCCTTGACATTGTCCCCGTCATATCCTCGAATAGAAATGCAAATATTACAAAAGCTGTTATTGAATAAAGTCAACAATCATAAACTCAATTAATGTCATCAAATGTTGATTTTTTTATAATTCCAGACAATTAATGAGATAATCTGTTCAGTTTTGACATATCGGTAAATATTATCAGATTTTACAATTACTTTTACAGAAATCAGACCTTCTACAGGATCACTGATATTGTGGACAAATTACGAGAGATCGAGACATACTTCATTGTTTCTCTGTAATCGTTCATCACTGCATTTACGTTTTGTTTCAGTTCATTTGCATATTTTAAAATCGTAGAATCTTTCACTAAGCGCTTGCATTTCATTTCGTTATCAAATTCACTGGTACATTTACGATAATGGTGTAAAATGGCATATTTTTCATTGACTGCTATCCCATGATGCCTCATTGCAAATGGCCGACTTATATGATGGATCCCCAATTCAAAGATATTTCTGGGGTTAACCATGACCTTACGTCGGACTGAGCTTAATGTGATTACTCTCTGCGTTATATCTATATGATGGAATGTACCCTTTGTCTGCAATCCAGTGTTTATAGGAAAAAATGCACTTTTGAAGGAAAATCCAGCAATATCATTTCGGTTTGTGTAATTCTGTTGCAGTTGTTTGACCATTGAGTTCCAATTTACGACACCTCTCGGGACTAGAAATTCATCCAGATCGTTGAAGATTACATGCTTGAAATATCTCATACTGCGATAGAGACAATCATTTATCGCTAGCAATTGTCCATTATACCATACCATTTTTGATTGTACAGGCATTTTCCATTGTATCAGTGTTAATATCCCTATATATTCATAATATTGCAAAATTTGGAGGAGTTCATTTTTTATCTCTGCGATATACAGTATAAAATGACTAGCACCTAAAATTCGAGTTAACTCGATAAACTGCACAATTTTCGTTACATCTTGATCGCCAAATAATGGTGGTATACATACACCAAAATCTTTCTTTGGGTGTGTCATGTTTTCCTGACTTAATGAGAATATCGGAATCGTCAAATTTGGGACTGTAGGATTGAGAGGGTGGACACTTGATATTGTCACGCTACACGGAATATGTCCAAGTTCTTCACGAGGAACCTTGCACGACAGAATATAGCCGCCAAATTTTTTACCATGATTTTCACACATTTCGTAATATTCTACTTCTGTCCAAACATACTTCGATTTGAGATTTTGTTGTCCTTGTAATTCAAAATGGCAGAAAAGATTAATCCGATGGTGTTTTTTAACCAATGAAATTAATCTTATATAATGCTGCCCGTCGGTTTCTTTTACTCTTTCATCGTAATAAGCAGAATAAAGATACAGCATTGGATATAGCTCACGGAAGTACAATGGATTTTTGGTGTCTTCGGTTTTGTTGCATTCTTCCGTCAGCGGGAACTCATACTGACTAGAGGAAAGATTTATCTTCTTATTAAACTTGATAATTTTTTCTGTAACTTCTGATTTTGGTTGATTTTGAATTACAGTATGTTGATATCTAGTGACATTTGTAGTTACAGTTACCTTGTTATCCAATGTGTCTTCTTTGTAAGTCTCACGTTGTTTGTAAGTGTCAAATTGTTTCTCATGGACACTGCCATATATTAATGTGTCATTAGGCGTTATATCGAAAAGTTCCAGCTGCGTGTGAAGCATGACGATAAATAGAAGATATGCCAGGAACGTACATATCATATACACGCGACATTTTCCCATTATGTGATACGTATCACTCAATGTACAATGTACAATAAAATGTACAATAATGTACAATAAAACTTGTCTCGAGTAGCCCTAGCAGCACAAGCTTAAACTCTTCATATTGAGATCGTAACGTTATAATCATGTGAATTTTGGAAAATTTCTTCACTTATAGAATTGTGCTGATGATATTTTATTGTACTGATAATATTGTACTGGAAGTATTGTATTGTACTGATGGTATTGTGATGAAATGGTTATTTTGTTACTCTGCATCAATCTTGTACCTCATAAGCACCTGAAAATACATAAAAACCAATATATAACAAAAGGTTACACTACTTGAAACTGTGTTTTGAGAAAGCATAAATAAGTGTTATCTCATAGTAGGGACATTTTTGGTATCTATTAATACTTTTACAATTAAGAGGTGTGAATCATGATGATTTATCAAATAAATGACACTTTTTGTTAAAATACATGTTGCTTATGGGTGTAATTAGCTGTTAGGCTCATCCTTAATAACTTAAAATTTTTTTGTATTCATAATGATATGTAATTTTTGCAATAAAATGACTTGAATAGAAACCTTCTTTGATGAAGATATCAAATCTTGAATTAGAAATGGATTTTTCAATTTTTAGAAGCAATAAATTCATTTTCCTCATGAACAGCTTTTTTTCAAGCTGCCAAAATAAAAGAATTAAGGCTGTCTCACCTCACCAAAATCTTGAATTTTAAATGTTTTGCCTCACTTATCTTATATTTGTCTCACTTATTTACATTTGCCTCACCTATTTTAATTTGCCTCACCTATCTAATTTTGACTTGCCTATTTTTGGATTAAGGCTATACCCCTGGATAAGACCATTTGCTCAACTATGTAGATGTTCTATTAGTAAATGAAACAATCTACTATCACACTAATAATGCAGTTTATTCATATTACTGTTAACATATGGATTACTACATTATGTACGTTGCATTTTATCAATGACTGCGACAAAACCACATTATATTGCATGCTTTAGTATACACATATGATATTTAAACAATACCTTTTGTGTTTTTTTTCTATGGAATATTTTGATTGACTTGTTCTATTCATGATCAAGTATGATGCCATTGTGAATAATATATATATCTTTTATTGACTCTTTAAATGTCATATCATGACATATTAGTCACTAAGGTAGAGCAGTTCTTCCCATTGTCGAGTTGAAGAACTGGTATCTTTATCCTGGCTAGAACCATAGACAATTCTAGCCAGCGCTAGCCTTTTATCGAGTCAGCAGCACTCTAGTAATCGCCGGTATAGGTCAGCAGTCATAGGTCAAAGACAAATCACAAGAAGTGCTGTGACCTGGGTTTGAACCCAAGACCTCTACTTTTAAATATTTTAATAAAAAAAAAAAAAAAATCTATGATGCCATTTAGGCAATTAATGTAGTCTATCGCGGTCCAATCAATGAAACGAAATATATTGATCATCATTATTTCAACAAAAAATGAAGTTAATTAATTTTCATGTCTACGTTTATGAAAAGATAGGGTTCTGGATAAACTGATACTCTAATGCCATATAAATGTTGTTTTTTAATGCCTAATGTTTTTCTATAATATGAAATCCATTGCATTGAGATTTACTGCTTTTCTAAATTCATAAAAAAATCTGTATCATTATCATTTGTTAAAAATAACCACAGACACACATGTCATTATGGTTCATGTTTTAAAATGCAAAATAGAGTGGAAAAGAGTGGAATCTGTGAGGAAACTTCATTCAAATTTTAAAGAGAAAAATCGCAAAGTTAACATAATGACAGAAAATATGTATGCAGACAGGGTAACTTGACCCTGAGGTAAATATCATTGCTCAGTGAAATAAGAGTCATTTCAGATGATATATACATACCTGAACATAAGAATTCATATGAACCGACTAATCTAATTTTGTACTATCTATTTCTCAGAAATAAGCGTTACAGTGCTTTATTTTCAAAACTTGAACTCATTTTTGAGGAAATTTTGTCCTTATCTGGAAAAAAGTTCTCTACATGATAAGGACGTTGATACTCCGAATTTTCACAAAAGCCCCAGAACTAGATTTTAAAAATATTTTCTTTTTTATCAGCTCAAAAAAGACTTGAATGACAAAATGTATCTATTCCTCAAAGTTGGAAATATTGAAATCTATTAAAACAAAATGAACAGAAATGTTGAAATCTCTGTACTTCCTTGAATATGTTTTGTCAATATCTGGTTTAATATGGCAAGTAATAATATGACAAGTAATGGTATGACAGTTAATGGTATGACACATAATAATATGATAAGTAATGATATGACAAGTAGTGATAATTATAAATAATAGTATAATAACAAGTGATAATGCCAAGTTATGATATGACAAGAAATGCATGACAAATAATGATATGACCAGTAATAATACGACAAGTAATAATATGGCAAGAAATGCATGACAAATAATGATATGACAAGTAATGGTATAACAAGTAATGATATGACAAGTAATAATATGGCAAGTAATAATACGACAAGTATTTATATGACAAGTAATAATATGGCAAGTATTTATATGACAAGTAATGATATGGCAAGTATAAATATGACAAGTAATGATATGACAAGGAAGATATGACAAGTAATGTATGAGCCATAATGATCTTAAAACTGATATCATTGAGAAGTCCATGAATATATCTGATACATCTGTAAGTACATTGACTCCTTAACTTTATTTAGGCTAAATCAAAAAATGTGTACTACCGTACCATACATATTATACATTCATCATATCTATTTCCAAGAAATTTAAAAAAAATAATTTTGAGTCATATATATAATATGTATATCCTCAAAACAAATGTCTTAACACTTACTTTAAGGTCACTGTTTGAATATCCCTCTGTGACAATTTTCACTAGACACTTTTTTGCTTTTTGCTGTCTGTCTGTCAAGACTCACTAGAAAAAGTAAATCAGCTGGAAAAAGGTCCTATCTTCTTTGGATCACCAGCTGCTAGTGTTTTATATGCTGCTGTTAATTGTAATTTGATGCTTGGTATCTTTGAATAATTTGTAAATGCTAGTTGCATCTGGTTAAATCATCTCTGGATAATATCAAGCTTTTAACTTTCAGCATAATTTCACATCTCAGCTCTCAGGATAATTTCAAGTTTAAGCTCTCAGCAACATTTCAAATTTAAGCTCTCAGCAATGTTTCAAGTTTAAGCTCTCAGCAATGTTTCAAATTTAAGCTCTCAGCAATGTTTCAAGTTTAAGCTCTCAGCAATGTTTCAAGTTTAAGCTATCTGCAATGTTTCAAGTTTAAGCTCTCTGCAATGTTTCAAGTTTAAGCTCTCAGCAATGTTTCAAATTTAAGCTCTCAGCAATGTTTCAAGTTTAAGCTCTCAGCAATGTTTCAAGTTTAAGCTCTCTGCAATGTTTCAAGTTTAAGCTCTCAGCAATGTTTCAAGTTTAAGCTCTCAGCAATGTTTCAAGTTTAAGCTCTCTGCAATGTTTCAAGTTTAAGCTCTCAGCAATGTTTCAAGTTTAAGCTCTCAGCAACATTTCAAATTTAAGCTTTCAGCAATGTTTAAAATTTAAGCTCTCAGCAATGTTTCAAGTTTAAGCTCTCTGCAATGTTTCAAGTTTAAGTTCTCAGCAACGTTTCAAGTTTAAGCTCTTAGCAACATTTCAAGTTTAAGCTCTCAGCAATGTCTCAAGTTTAAGCTCTCAGCAATGTTTCAAATTTAAGCTCTCAGCAACATTTCAAGCTTTAACTCAGAGCATCTCCTCTACATCTGATACCACTGCATCTATATCTTAAATACTGACAATCTAAGTAGGGCTTATTCTGTCTTATTCAAATATTCATTAAGTCAATAGATGTTGATCGCTTCACTCAGTCTCACTGGTCCATTCATCTGATGAATCAAAGTTTATGTTGGAACAGGAGTTAATGTTTTAGATGCTGTATCTATTTGAGAATTTATACTTTCCTCATCGTGTGAGCGGTTATATAGAACTAGGGGCCGTATCATGTCATAGTGAGGTATTATGGGGTGGTATCAAGGTGTTTTTATAAAAGAAATTCAGTAAATGTTGTTAAATTAGACAAATGATACCTTTCTCATTGGGTGGGTGGTTATATAGAACTAGGGGCCGTATCATGTCTTGTTGAAATATTATGGGGTCATATCAATATGTGTAGATGTTTTTATAAAAAAATCAGTTAATGTTGTTAAATTAAAGAACTCATACCTTTCATTATATGAGCTGCTTAAGGATGCAGTACCAGGTCAGCGTAGAAAAAGTTCCAGACATTAGATTTTGCTCATATTTTTTACAATGTATTACTATGATGTTATCATCATCCAAGTGCAATATGAAGAGGATTGACCGTCTGGTAATTACAAAATAAAAAAATTATTTTACCCACCCAAAATGAATCTTTTTACTTTTTTGAGTTTTCAAAAGAGCTGGCACCTTTCGAACCCTGGTTTTCGTATCCACTAATTGCGACTCAAGAACAAGTTTTCCCATAAAAGTGAAAGAGATAAAATATGCTTGATAAAATGTTTGCAATTTAATTCTTTTCTAGAAACACCATTATCGAAATAAACTATAATTTTTGAATAAGACTAAATGCGAAAATGACGTTCTTGGGAGCTAGCTTTCTCAAACCGGAAGTCAAACCTGTGCAAACAGACGTGAAAACCGACCCGGTACTGCATCCTTAAAAGACTTAGAAGAACCAGGGGGCATATCATGTTAAATTGAAGCATAATGGGGTCATATCAATATGTCAATGTGTTTTATAAAAAATCAACTAATTTATTAAATTTAATTGGAGAAATGATACCTTTTTCATTGTCTGAGTGGCCATATAGAACCAGGGGCTGTATCATGTGTAATTGAATTATAATGGGGTCAAATCAAGATGTCAATGTGGTTTTTTAATTCAGTGCTATATCTATTTGACTTAACTTGAGAAATGATATACCTTCCTCATCTTGTGAGTATCTACATGTATATAGAACTAGGAGGTGTATCATGTTTTAGTGTATAACGGGGTTATATCAAGATATAAAGATTTTTTGTTTGTCCTATTCATGCCTACACTGATCTTTTTCTCTCAAGAATTTTAATTAAGCATCTGATTTCTATTTCTATATAATTTAGAGCATTGACTAGATGTCTATCTAATTTATTCCTTGGCGATTATATTCAAATTCTATTTTTACTGAATTTTACAATTTAAAATTCGACCACCTTAAC